CTATAATTTTTAGAACATAAAAGCTGATAACCACCTATAACAAGCATGAAGCACGTGATTAAAACCCCCGATTAGGGTCGGGCAATCTATCACTACTACTGGTACCACTACCACTACCAGGTATGAGCGTAAGCTGCGTAACAAACTTAAGATGAAACAATTGATCTCTATGTAGCACTCTGCACTATATTATATGTATACGTATCACTATTTTGCCTAGTATTACTGATAAGATGGTGATAGAAAGTAAGCACTTATTTTCTAAATAAAATGGTATTTACTTTAAATATCAGGATGGCAATTACTAGCCTGGGCTGATCTTCGTGATAATATATACAGTAAAACCCCGACTTACAGTACAGTTTGGGGAAAGATAAATAGTGCGGTAAATCAGAGTTTTCACTTTTTGGTCCCCTTGGCCGTCGGATCACATGGTTTGTCTCCGCACAGAATTGGTTCCCAATTAGTTGTCATGGACTATGGCCTGGTTCACTAGTACTCAAGTGAGGGGTACTAAAACTGTGTAGGTTCAATGCTAAACAGTACGCTCTTTGACCAACATCAGAAACAAAACATTATTTACCGCCCCTTCTGTCACCAAGGATCGACCGGGACTGCTTTTTTGGCCGGGACTGGAAAGGAGTGCCGGAACCAGGTATACGCCGGGACCGGGATTCAGCCAGATTTGGGATCGGGATCATAGCTAAGAAAACCAGCACTTAACACTTACACTAAAATCTGGTATCCGCAACTGATAAAAAGCACAAGCACAGCTTACCCAACAAATTGGCACTCGACTCTGACAGTGTTTTGTTTATTAATTGGTAAATAATTTTGCTTCAAACTTCAGTTTTTCAAAAAATCCGGGATTAAACCGGGATCCCGGTCGAACCTTGTCTATCACTCCCTGTCGTCTCTTAGCTCTCTGACACCTTATTGCTTAATGCTAAGATCCTAGCTTAACAATACGTAACACACTCATATGGAGTCTTTATTCTAGCTCGACGGTACTGTAAAACCACTAATTGGGAACCAATTCTATGCGGAGAGAAATCATGTGATCCGACGGGGACTAAAAAGTGAGAACTTTGATTTACTACATTTCTTACATGTGCATCTCTTATTGCTATAATTCGACGACTTATCTGCTACTTTGTGTCCGGTGCTATACAATTGTGAGTACGTTATGGAAGATGTGTACTTAGACTCTCTAATGTAGTCAAGTAAACATTTTGACCAGCTTTCAGATGCTTCTAATGATCTTGGTATTTGGGTTGAGGTAATGAAGACAATAAACTTTGATGAAGATAGTGATATCACATTCGAGAAGTTCAAGAAACCAAACAAGGACGTTCTAGTAAAGCACCTTTTTGATGCGTTTTAGGGTATTGTCTAATATCAGCGTATTCTCCACGAATAAAAAGATAGAGGAAATGAAAAGTGAAATCATCAGTGCTCAGAAATCAGCAAAAAATGCAGAGGAAACCCTTCCCCCAGGCCCCAGCTCTGTCTCCACTTTCACGGCAGAAAACTTGAAGAAAGTAGTTTGGAATGTTGTATCTGAAGAAGATCGCAGCAGATTGCAGAAATGTCTTCATTTTTAGTCTCAAGGAGGATACAGGAGAGAAACTTGGCGATCAAATTTGTGATGTGTTTGAACAAATTGCAGAAAAGCCACGCTTCGAAGCTGCTCAAATTGGGAATATGTCTGCTGAAAAACCCAGAGCTGTCAAAGTATCATTTTGAAACTCTTGCACCGTTCATCAGATACTGATCAAAGCTAAAGAACTCAGACTGTATCAGTGTTTCAAAAGTAAATAAAGGTATACCGTCACTAGTGAGATTGTATAGGGTTGTACACTCCCTCTTTTTCTCTATTGTCACCATAAATTGAGAACGTTTTGAGTTAGGAACTCCAAAATTTCCAGACACATTTGGACTTGGTTTGATAATTGAAGTGCTTTCCTATAACTTCAAGTTCGTTGTTTACAACTAAGTCGAGTTATGACCATTTTAAGATCTGGCACGGATACATGATTCTGGCACTTAATCTGTGATTTCTTCACTCAATCAATGGCACTTAATCAGTGATTTCGAATGATTTAGTTTCAAATTATTATTCAATTAAGTAACTTTTGGTGATCAATCCAGTGATCAAAACCAAATTGCCCAATCTTGCCTAAAAACGATGTTTAAATGTTGCATTGAAAATATCCACTTGCTAAAGTCACAATGATAAGAATTGGCTGCAAATAAACTGGTAAGTAGATGAGCATAACAGTGGAGTTCCCACCTACGAGTGGTAAACTGAGAGGTGGCGCGCTTGAGAGGTGGCGCGATGTATGCAGAGTATGATAATGTCAGCCTTGCGGCGCAGCTGACATTAGCTTTCATTACGTTTGAATTATCGCGTCCACGGCAAGGCTGACATTATCATACTCTGCATACACCGCGACACCTCTCAGGCGCGCCACCTCTCAGGCGCGCCACCTCTCAGGCACGCCACCTCTCAGCCACCACTCGTAGGTGGGAACTCCACTGTAATGAACTTAACAGGCATCAACCATCCTTAATGTTAACTATCAATAAACAAGTGTGTTTGTACAACGCAGTTTTAGGTATTTAATGGGTTTTCATCAGTAATAATTCTTGCTTGAAAATTACAGTCAGTTGGTGGTACTGTTAAATAGTTGTAAAATGGTAATGGTAAATAGGACTGTCATTTCTCTCCACAATCGCTTGGTAAGAGGTTATCTCTTATTATAAAGGCTGAGCTAAAGCAGTCATAAGTATACTAAGATAAAAAAGGTCACATCAAGCTTGAACAGAGTACTTACATATTTCAGCCCATAGGATCGGTTGTTAATTATTATATCAGCATACAATAATGTTTGTCAGGAAAGCATCTCGTCCCAAAGGAAATTCTGGTTCAGCTAGAAATAATGATATTTGAAGTTCATAGTTTAAATTCAAATATACTTTAATTAGAATAAACAACATACATCAAGTTAGGTCTGTTTCTACACCAGGAAAATAGATTAATTGAAAAAAATTGCTTCAAAACCTTCAAATACCTGCATTTCAAGAAATAATAACGAAACAGGTCTTCGAGTTCGATATTACAGCTTAACTAAGATAATCAACTAAGTGGGACACACCAGCATTACAAAGCAGCTGTTTTTTGGCAAATGTGATTATAGGCCATTATTGAAGGCAGATATCTAGAGCTTGGAATGCGTTTCGGGCATCAAAGAATGTGCACCTGTGTACCAAGGCAATTGCACGATTCGATTGGAAGTACATATATTTTTTCTAACACAGAATACTGTCCGTTATTGTTTATACAAGGCTTGAATGGGTTAATTGTAATTTCGGTATGAAGCATGATTGAAATGATCTGATAAAAGTGTAAAACGTTCAAATCCTGTCCAGAACTAAACGAGTGTAACAAGGGATATAATTTAGCAACATCCTGATCCACTAAGCTATTCTATACTAGAACAAGTTTCTAGTAGTCTCCAGCACATCGCAGCCAAAACGCAGTAACACTAACTCAGTTATATTAAATACCCTCTCAAGATCATTTAGTAACATCTGCATTACAAAGTGCAACAAAACAACTACTACCAAACTAAATATACGGTGTGTGCATTGAGGCTCTATGCTAATTGCTATGAGCGGCAACAAAAAGAAATTCGACCGAAAAGTATCAGCGCATATTTGATATGAGAATAAAAATGGCGCAACAAAAAATTTGGTTAAATCTCCTTATTGCAATTTCCAACTGCGCGGCGTAGCGCGTACTTTGAAATCCAAATAAAAATTATTTTTGATTCAAATATCGGAAAATAAAATTACGGCATACAGCAAATCTTGTGTAAAAAAGTGTGATTAACAATATTCTGTAAAAAAATTTCGTAAAAAATTTAAGAACACGATGTCCCGCCCCATTTTCTAAATTGATCATTTTTGGGACTTTGACGGGTTATAACTTCCGCTAGGAGCAGCCATTTCCCCAAAACTTGGTACCATATGACTCTACTCAATGAGACCTTTCCAATGATGTATAATATGTTGGGTTTTGAGACACAAAATGTTCACCCGCAAGTTGACGCTCTTAGTACATACACTACAGCTGCGCGCCACCCTCATCATTGATCATGCATTAAAGGAGTGCAGTTATACTTATACATGATAACTTAAATTTGTAATCAAATTTCATGGATAATCCGATAAGCAAACAATTTTTTGCGCGCACGACACACCTTTTCGTAATACGTCAAATTTCGAGGATTAATAATAATACGTATTCGTATTCCAATTCGTATTCCCTCCTAATAGTAATACGTATTTAACAACCTTGGGGGGACCCCCAACCCATGTAGGTGTAGCTGAGACACCTCACAGCAAGTAGACCAAAGTGGCTCTTGCTTGTGAAAGGTGTATTAACTCCCCGCTTGGTTCAGCTAGGCCTGATTCTCTTCCAATTATTCAATTAGATTTTTTCAGTTATTTAGAATATATATTCGCATCTATCCACACTATATTTATATTACACGTTCAACGTGATATCGTTATCAGTGCAGTGTGTACAACACCAACTACACCGATCAATTGCCAATCTGCGAAACATTTAATTATTATTATCACTTCGAGATGGCAGGGCCTACTCTCATGCTGTCTATATGTGATGATTAATTCTGAAAAACTAGGGACAACTGGGGAATGATCCCAGAACCTCGAGATTTCGCGTCTCTTGCTCTACCAAATAAGGTCCGATAAGGTATATCCAACACGACTTGTCTGTCTGTCACAGCCTGGTGCTGTGAATTGTGGAGTCGTGGACCATATATAGCTGGATAAAACTTTGCTTCTATTATTTAATTTTAGATATACCTAGTATTATAGAACAGTCATTTTGAGTTTTCATACAGTAATTAAATCAAGACAAGCATTTGAGATACTATTTGTATTTTGCACTTGCTACTGTGATACAATACCTGCAATATGTAGCAGAGAGCAGTGAAGAGTCCCATCCAGCTATGTGAGGAGAAGAGGTGCTCGTAACCGTTACTTTGATGATAGCTGAACTGGGCCACTAGACCTAGTACTATTAACACTGATCCTGATTGTAAATGCGGTTAGTTGTTCTCAGTTAATTAAATATCGTACCCACTACTTTCAATTGGAAGTTTAGATTTTTATCAGGTTTGAAAGTGTTCATCTCCGTTTCAGACATTGGTTTTATAAAGTAGAATGTCACAAACTGTGAACTTGAAGTGTAGCGGCAGTAGAATTCTAATATTCCTCTTCAAATGATCTTAAATTTTAAAAGACGTATAAAACCTGTAATATGAAAGGCTGCATGAATCTTTTTCTTGGCAGGTTTCTCGAATGGAAGCATCCTGAAGCTCACTGCCGCTGAAATGTCGCTTATTGATTAAATCAAAGACATTAATCCGACAGAATAGACAAATCGATTTAAACTATTTGTCAAATTAATCTACACAACCTAAAAACATAAATAATTTAAAAAATAACTTACCGTTAAAGAAACAAAATACGAGTCCAGTAAGCATGAGAATCGGATGCCAGTTATCTGCATGTTCACTAAAATCTAGTCCACCAAGATGGGAGAAAGTCCAAACAATCATAATAATCAGCGGTAATAAAACCACTGTTTCGTACAGAAATATAAAAACTAACTCGTATACAGTTGAAACTTGTTTTGAAAGCATTTCACCAAGAACACGAAAGATGTGTAATAGTAATTTTTAATTTTATGACAAGATCTTCGACGATATAAAAGTGGCCTATCAAAATATGATCCTGCACGCTGTTAATTATAATATTTTGAGTGTTTCTAGTATCTGTTGACTGGCTATCCAGTATCCAGTTTCATCACAGTAATTATGGTCGTGTTCGTTGCCCAGGTAATTTATAGAATTATTGACCGTGCAAGACTAGTGTGACAAATCCTATCAAATTTCGCTGAATCCCGGAAAACTTATCAAACTTGGTGTAGACTTTCACTTACAAAAAACAGAAACATACAATTTCATCTTGATGAGTTTACTGATATAAATCTTCAAATTTCAGTATCAATCTACTATAACATCGTTTTAGAAAAATGCAAAATGGAAGACAGAGGGACAGAGGAGTTTGAAAAATGTCGGAAAAAGTCAGGCTTTTGTGAGTAAAGGCTAGTTTATGATCCTGCCGTCCGATCTTGAATTTGGCTCTGTGCAACATGGCTCTGTGCAACATTTATATATTATCAATATTACTATAGCATTTATACTTTTATAGCACTGGCCATATGCTGTGACAAGATTTTGCCATTTTCAGACGCCTGCCCCCTCCGTCAGAAAACTGACACATGGCTGTTCTCTACAATTTGCATTAGATCTCTATTCTCTACTCTGTCGATCAAGATCCCGGAAATGTTGCCCTTGAGATTATTTTCGTATCCCGAACCTGCGTTGCGCAACACCGGTCCTGAATGGTGCTACAAACGCTGTCGTATTCATTGTTATTATAATTCAAATTTTTTGTTTTGGCTCATCAAAACCTGCTGTTAATTTGAAAGAATCCAGTATCAAAGCAAGAAACTTGGACAAATTAACTTTAAACGACTCAAAAGTAGCTTCAGCTTTAATACTGTCAGGCACTTTGTACCATAGTTTTGGTCCTCTTACAGCAATTGAGCTATCATGGAGTGTCGTCTGGTTGCTCAAGGAACTCAACCTAGACAGGGAAGGGATTATTGCTCGGGCACCATGTCTGGATGTTTTTGTGAACCTAATATTGCTGCAATTGGGGACAACATTGTGAAGGATCTTCCACATCATCAGAATGGTATACCGTTCCTTTCTGCGGAACTAAGAAAGTGCTACCGAAATAACCGATATCGTTATTTACCAGCTTTATACAGCCTAATTATGAACGGCTCAGTATTTTTAAAAACCTCGAGATTATACGCACGGTTAAGAAACCCACACAAATCTAATTATAAATTTGTAATTCGTTATACATTTTGATTTCCCATTTATCTAGATTAGACTTTAGCCTTTGTTAACCCTTGAATAATCTCAAATCACTTGTTGTTAACTCAATTCGAATTTATTTATCGAAATTACAAGTTATATATTACCCGTGTATTAATATTATATATTACCCGTTTCTTTTGAGCGAGGAGTCAACCGTGTGTTTCTTAATGTCATGAATTATTCGATTTTGGAGACAATTTTAAACATTTTCTGATATTCAATGAAATTATCACGATCAACATTATTGTACGTGTTTTCCGGGCTGTTGGAAAAACAGCTTGGACTCTTACTTTGACTACTTTGTATTCGGCTTATTTTACTTTGCAGTTTAGAGTTTAGAGTTAGAGAAACCCCCCCCCCCCCCCCCCCCCCCCCACTTTTTTCCTAGAAAACACTTTTCTCTACGTTTCATGCTACCCTGATCATGCTATCATGATGAGCCGAAATCATTGTTATGATATCCGGCCAAGCACCTTCTAAACTACTTACTAGTATAGCCGGATATTCGATCAATTTCTAAATTTTATCACTATCAGTATCAGAGTGAAATTGAGCGGAATTTGAATTAAAATATAGTTAAATTGTTATTATTCTAGAGGGTAAAAAAGAAAATGTTGATTACGTAATCAACGGCCGAAACCCCCCCCCCCCCCCCCCCCCCCCCCGTAATCAACCGTAAGCATTTGGAAACCCCTCCCTCCCCCTCGGCTGATTACGTAATATGTGAACGACCCCCTACCACATCACGATTGAGAAATTTAATTATATCTCCCCAAGAATTTTACGCTGGGGACCTCGAGGCTTCTCTGTTCATAAACAGATTGAATATATAATATTGGAATGACAATTGATAGGCCGAGCGCCGCCCTAGTAACAAGAGTTTTGATAGAATTAATTTGTTTATAATTAAATGCTCTCTCGTACCACAATTAGAAAATCTATTATTTTACTCTTATAACCATTGTCAGTCCACTTAGTGTCGGGGTGCAAACGTGAGGTAAAGTAAGATCATTTCCAGAAATCCTCCATAAATTCCAGAAATCCTCCATAAATTGCAGAATGTTTAAGGGCTTTTCCACACCAATTATACGGTCTTAAATATTTCTTATTTCATTGAATCGTTCAGTCGGCTAAGCTAATTTATCATTCGATCCCAACGCCAGCTCATTTCCGGATTTATGTCTTATTTTCAATTTTCAATTTTCTTAGTTCATAAAATTTGCTGAACGTCACTTTTTAAAACTTGCTATTTTTTCTCGAATTTCAAAGTTCAATTATTATAATTACTAGAAACCCGCTAGTCGAAAGCTTTGTTCGAGGAAATTTTAAAAATCAGTTATGTTTTAATTTCTCTTCATCATACAGCTCTGTTATACAGTAGACATAATGGAATTTATTTAACAATGGCGACAGCGTTGTTAGTATTCGGATTCCCAAAACGATACTTTTTACCGCATCAAAAATACCAATCACAACCAAAGTTATGAATATAAGTCATAGCGTGAGCGTAAATGTGAGCTAGTTTTGAAGTTATGACGTAGCATACAGCATAACAACGCGCGTAGTTAAGATGTCCTTGCTCGCGCACGTGCATTTTAACGTTGCTACGTAACAGCGCAGTAAACCTTTGCTAAAATAACGACATTATTCTAACGGTTATTTTACCTCACTTCCGACGTTAATAATAAAAAATCTAAAGCCTAAATCAAAATTCTAAGAATGCTATAGCCTATTCCTATCCTTTTTCTACAACCCTGCTAAAAATGGCGAGGTTTCAACTCCATTTGCGAGCTGGGTTTGATTTCACCAGAGGGTCATTTTGAGGTCGATTTTCGGTGTTTTTTCTTCTATGTCCCCGTTGCCGGGGAAATTTCGTCAAGTTTAAATTATAGTATAGATGTATAACATTTTGAACTTTTATCCAATTGCATCGCTGCACTGCATGCTGCCTTATTCCTTTATTCATTCTCCAGTTCAGCAAATAATTTCCATTAGGGCAGCTGTACGGTGTTTTATGGGATGATGATTAATCACTCTAAACTCGACTGTCACGTGACACTGACTTTTTCAACCCGTTCTCTAGCCGGTCCTGAATGACTACCTTATCGGACCTTATCGGACCTTATTTGGACGGACATTAAATGAACGGACATAATTATGGTCCTGCATTTCAGTGTTAACTTTACAATTCAATTGGCGTGTGGTGGTTTTAACTTAGACAACTTTAGGTTAACCTTAACATCACGTGGAGCTTTCCTAGCACTTTTTCATAACCTCCCCTGAGTAATATGAACTATAACAACGTCGGACAATGTCCTTGGCAACACGATTTACCGTAATACTAATATCTAGAGGCTGGAACAAGTTTGTCATGTTGGCGGGGACTAGCTTATGAACTATGTTGTTGAATGCCATAATTTTGTTGAATTTTTCCGCCATGCAAGTGACCCTTGAAAACATTTTACATCATAATATACTAGTAGAGTTTTCTGTGCCTCCGGCAGACCAAGGAGAACCTTTCCGTCGTTAACTTACGGCACAATAAAGTTCTCATAGTTGTCATATTTTGGACAAAAAGTTCGAAGTGGAAAAAGTTTTGAAAAAAATTCAACGGACTTTAACTTGAAGTTAAATGAATTTGAACGGACATTAAGAAGAACGTTAGGGCCTCCAGCGTTCAATTAATGTCCGTCAAAATAAGGTACGATAAGGTATATGAATATAATGTTGATTTACTAAGCTCACTACAATCACACCCAGAAAGTCCGTACCATGACACGACTAAGGCTCATGTTAGCTTTGCTGGCTCACGTAACCTTGTTTCTAGCAACTTCTTCTCTCGAATGCACAAAGTTACGAAATGGCCGGAAGAACGAGTTCACCGATCGAGGTAAAGGTCGGCTCGTAACCTACAATCTCCGGACAATCGGGATTGGTACTACAAAGCAGAACTTAGGGATGGTGTTCTTCTTGAGCCCTAATGGAGAACCTTTTTACGGATCGGATATAACAGTGAGCCCGAGTCTGGAGGTTGGGGGGTCACATATTCTCCATGTGACACACAAGCATGTGGAGCGTAGATCATCAGTTCCCTGTGATAACTGGCCCAAAGGAATGCACTGTGACTCTGACAAGAATTCCGTGGCAGATGAGTGTACGGTCGAGTTCAAAGAAGGAATTTTCAAGATTTTGAGTTCGTTGAGGTTGGTAATTTCTTCCAAATGTCCATGAACGGAGTTCCTGTAGGCAAGGTAAGGATTCCAGACTCTGACTGTTTGTTGAATGGAGGGAACCACGTGGAGAAAATATTTTATCAGGGACCTGGAGCCAGTCATTTGTTTAGCTGCATTTGAGAGGACACTGAACGGTTGTTTGGAGCCAGTCATTTGTTTAGCTGCATTTGAGAGGACACTGAACGGTTGTTTGGAGCCAGTCATTTGTTTAGCTGCATTTGAGAGGACACTGAACAGTTGTTTGGAGCCAGTCATTTGTTTAGCTGCATTTGAGAGGACACTGAACGGTTGTTTGGAGCCAGTCATTTGTTTAGCTGCATTTGAGAGGACACTGAACGGTTGTTTGGAGCCAGTCATTTGTTTAGCTGCATTTGAGAGGACACTGAACGGTTGTTTGGAGCCAGTCATTTGTTTAGCTGCATTTGAGAGGACACTGAACGGTTGTTTGGAGCCAGTCATTTGTTTAGCTGCATTTGAGAGGACACTGAACAGTTGTTTGGAGCCAGTCATTTGTTTAGCTGCATTTGAGAGGACACTGAACGGTTGTTTGGAGCCAGTCATTT